GGGGAGTTTCGAGATTTGTGTTATTATAATTATATGTACATCCCTCGTTTTAATTTTTTTTCACCATAGATTCGCTCAACTCGTCGAAGACACGTTTTCGTTAACGCTGACTATACAAATAGCATTAAATACAGTAATGATCAGCATTACCTTGTTACAAGTATGTGTTTATTTATTTTCATCTTAAAAAATTCATTCGCGACACATATATATGTGTTCTTTATACACACAGTTAGGATCAGATAATCGTACATTTCTCATAAAATTACAAGAAAATGCGCATGCGGATTAGGAGAATTAATCAAGTATTATACTTTTCATACTGGAGATCACGCAGCAGAACGCCAGTGTTTTTGTAGTGGTGAGATATATAGTATATGTTCTTAGCCAACTGATTCATATATTCTGCCTCAGTTTTGAGGGACAAAAGTTGATAGATCACAGTCTTCAAACGCGCGATAAGATGTAAGAAAAATTTTGAAAAATTTTCTAATAATTATACTCTATATTTAATTAACGGAATTTACGGTTAGCGTATATCACTCAAGTGTAATTGCAGCTACACTAGTCTTTGGTACGAAACACCTCCCAAGTCGCAAAAGATGCTTTTGTTTGTGATGCAAAAAACCCTTCAACCTATTTTCTTGAGCGCTTGCAAGATTTACATTTTTTCAATGGAGAATTTCACCATGGTAAAGAATAGGCAATAATATATTACACGAGCGTATATACATATATTGCATATATGCATATAAGTATATGTATATAATTGTACATACATACGTGCAGACAATACACCGCGTATAAAGATAATTTTAATATTATATTTGACTTATTGAATACTGCTTTTAAGGTCATGCAAACTTCAATGTCATACTTTACGGTACTCGCATCTCTAGAATAATTACGCAATGCGGTCAGTGTAACTATAATATTAATAATAATAATAATAAGAAGAAGAAGAAGAAGAAGTCTTGCCTCTATATATATCTTATAATTTATAGTTCTTACATGACAGCAAGACAATTAAGTGTATATTACTTATATGCGAGTAATGTATACGTATATATACATTCATAATATAAATAGTGATTAGTAATTCAATAACTTGTACTTTTGCATATGTGTATGTACATATAATATAATGCAATAATTATTGTTGAAATTGATTACGTATCAGCTGTGTTATGTTTCTCCGCGGACAGTGCAGTATACCGATGTGAATATCCGTTAAATGAGGACTCAAGTTACAGGTTGTATCATTCTTTATGCAAATTTAATAGATGAAAATTTGAATAATATAAAAATTTGGATATTATCAGAGATAAAATTGTTCAAGATAAGCCAGACTTTGCACACGTTTCTTATGATCATTTATTCACACGTAGATGATTCTAATAAGCAATTAAAATTGGAGATAAAAATTTATTAATTTTAAAATCTCTATGAGCACATTAATTTATCAAGTGATCGAGATTATTACACGAAAAAGTTGCGCCTGTGTTATTTTTTGTATAATATCGATTGATTTTAAAATACGTTATTCAATCGACGTTTATTATTATATCGTCTTATATCTTATATTTATTATATATTTTTAAATTTAGCATTTAGAAAATTCCATCAAGTCTTCTCGGCCACGTATCTGCTCGATATGAATTACTACTCTATCTATTTGATATTACCTGCATTGATGCTATTATAATACTGCAGGTTATACTATTTAAATTGGTGCTTTTCGATCATGCCATGTTCCCGCTTGCTACACTATATACATATATACATATAGTTACTACTGGTGCGTGCACTGAGGCTATATGCGTATACATATTAGCTATAGGCTAGCTATAGGCTAGCTGTTTAATTTAATGATAAAAACGCATTGTTTTTCGACATATGTACATACTCCAAGTATATGCGCGCTTTCACATACATATATACTTTATATATATACATATTATATATATATATATATATATATATATAAAATATGTATAAAGTATATATGTGAAAGCGCGCATATACTTGGTTGGACATATTCGTATATCCGTAATTACCGTATGTATCCAATTATAATAATTGATCGATATCTGATATCCAAATATACATAATGTACATATATATAAAACATACATATGTGTATGTATGTGCAGTGTATATGTGTCTCGTATTCAAACTAAAATGTATATAATTATATATATTTATTGATCAATCGAATATGTATTAATTTTTAATTTATGTCTACTCTGTTCCAGCGCGGTTGGTTAAAACTCCAATAATATAATAATCTACAATTTCTGATCTGGGCCTTAATATTCTGAATACGTGTGCAAAAGCTTAAACGTAAAATTGAGAAATACATAACGCGCGCATATTAAATCACACACACACACATATATACATACACATAAGTATTAAATCGACCGATAAATATACGTATACGTACCCCGACGTATTATTTATTCGCTATTTTTTTATCACCATGAGACATACTTGTATGTATAGGTATCGAAGGACGAATCGAAGCAAATCGAAGATTGATCGCATATGCGTTGATCTTCTGATGCCCCGTATGTATGAATGAATCGCGTACGTATGAAACTGTAAACATTTAGTCTAACGTCCTCTCCTTTAGAGACTAGAGAGTACTCTGGCGCAGTGCCGGTACTGCCGGTAGTGGCAGCACTGGCGGCAGTAGTCCGCAGTGCGCACTGCGCACGAACGTCGCGCGCCGGAAACAATCGGAAGTCTTCAATGTAAACGCGAATTGCGAACGATACCTACACATGATAACGTATTTTTATCGTATAATCAACAGTGTATCTAATCATTTCGAAGACAGGTAAGTACGACGTATCTTTTAAATTTTAAATATATCATAAGCATCGCGATAAAAGTGATGTGTGAAAATTGTCGCGCGCGCGCTAAAAAGAATTCACACGCAACGACATAAGTCATAATGATTCGTATCATCACCTTTTAAAATTGGCACTGTCGTGGACATGATCATAAGCAAACGGAACATTTTATAACATTAGAATACGTACTTAGGACTGCACGTATGTCTATGTATTGTATCGGTTGCAATGCAACTGTAATCATTTTATTTACATGTCATAGATATCTTTTTACAAAAATTATTTTGAAGAAAAGAAACGACTAGGTTATGTTTATCTCTTGTAAAGGTTATGAAAAGATATTTCGATTGATAGAAAATGCGAAAATGTAAATTTTATCTCTCGCAAACGCGCAACGTGGGGCTGTGACGACGAATAAATCAGATAATAAGTCCGATTAAACATACATATATAAGAAATGTAATTCTTCAATCGTAGATTTTTTAAAAGCGCGAATTGAAAAATACCAAGTACTAGAATATTACGCTACACAATACACACTTTTTTTACAAGATTAGAAAAATTACCCTATTTCTATAATAATGAGTAACAACAATTTATGTTACTCAACTTTCTGTATAATAAAGAATAACCTTACATATTCTGAAAACTATCCTATCATTCAGTTTAGTATACCTATTTCAATATCGGCAAATATCAGCAATATTATATACTTTTGTCTAATCTAAAACAATTCATGAGATATGTTCTTGTTTATCAACTTGATTCGACGGTACAGCGGTATAAGATCTGAAAGCTAAAATTAAGCAATACCAAGTTTCAATAATTTTAAGGTAGAGATACATATTACACACACACACACACACATACACACTTTCTCTCTCTCTCTCTCTCTCTCTCTCTATCTCTCTCTCTCTGAGAGAGAGGCCCATATTTACACACAGAGTATGTCACAATAATGTTAGAGCGTTAACACTATAGTTTGTTATGTATACTATAGAGTTTCACAGATAAAAGTGCGCATTTATCATTAAAAGCACGTTCTGAATATAGACCATTATATTAATTGTTACAGCGTCACATACACAACTCTAGAAATGAATGGAATTATTCCTGAAATGGAACAGATTATTAGTCAACTCGAAAGAGGGACTGTAGTGACTAAATTCTTCCCAAGAAAACGACCAGAAAAGAAAACGCTTATGATAAGAAGAGAAACTAGACAAATCGTTTGGTCAAGGAGTGCAACTTTTAGACCTTTTGATGGTTCAGGTAAAATCTTGTCTACAAATCTGTTTGAATTTTACTTAACTAATATTTTTGTAAACACATGAATTTATATATGTAGATATAACATATCTGTATAATAGAAATGGGCAAAAAAAAATTAATATTGCAAATATACTAATTCTGATTCATAAATGTAAAGAGAAATCTCTTGCATTTATCATGTTCAGATACGTTTCTAACAATGATTAAATTTCATCCATTTAAGTATCTCTTTGTTCTGCACTTTAATTGAATCAGTATTATATTGACTGATTGCAATATATAATTAATAAATATTTCTTACACACAGATACGCATGTGTTAACGTTATATATGTTTACTTCTACTAGTTATTTAATAGCTCAAGACACGCGGAGCTTTCTGAATTTTTATTGATTGCGAATAACATTCTTACGTTCATTTGGGAAGATGTATCTCAGTTTTTATCTTCTTACATGTATGTGTACGCGCGCGCTCGCGCGTGCGTGCGGCGTGTGCGTGAGTGTGTGTGTGTGTGTAGAATAAGATTTATTAGTAATTGCAGATGTTGCGTATTTGAATCATGTATTAGTTTTTAATGGCACGTTAATCTTTTACAGTGGAAATAAGAGAAGTAAAAGAAGTTAGGATAGGAAAACAATCTAAAGATTTTGAAAAATGGCCTGAAGATGCTAAGAGAATAGAAAACTTAAGGTGTTTTGTAGTATATTATGGATCAGAATTTAGACTGAAAACTCTTTCGATATCTGGTAAATATGGTGTAACAAAGTACGATCGTTAAAAATGTTGCTTTTTTCTATTACTTATAGTACTACATACTCTCTGTGAATTTATATTAGCTCTTAGTGAGAAAGAATGTGAACTGTGGGTCAAAGGTTTGCGTCACTTGGTACAAGACACTATAAATGCGCCATATCCATTACAAGTTGAAAGATGGCTTAGGAAAGAGTTTTACGCGATGGAAAATTCCCGTGAAACGCAAGTTCCTTTTTCTAAGAGAGTTTATTTTTATTTTTTACATATGTCTTTCTATCAATGTATGTATAAATGAGTGCAATTTATAAATACATTGATTATTTGTGTACTACACTATCTTTTTATATCAATCACATCTATGCGCCATTAGCTACATTGTTTTATATATTTATTGTGCTGACAGGGTGACGTTGAAAGATGTGAAAGCATTTTTACCTCGAGTTAATTGCAAAATTGCTACAAATAGACTCAGAGAATTGTTTCAAGAAGTAGACACAAGAAATCGGAATGAACTTGGTTTTGATGATTTTGTCATTTTATACCATAAACTAATGTTTGATCAGAATGTAAGTTAATATTGTAATATTCTTGTATGTGAAAAAGCCAATCTTTAACTATCCACGCACACAAATTGTAATTGGTGTAATACTTTTACAGAATCTCGCGGATTGGCATAAACTGTTGAATTATTCTAAAATTGGACAGACTGTTACGCTCCAAGAATTCCAGAATTTCCTAGTAACTGAGCAGCAAGACAGCTTGGGGAATAATGAATTAGAAATATCGCGTTTCATTAGAGAGTATTTGCAAGACTCTCAAAGGGATATTCAAGAACCATATTTTACTTTTTCAGAATTTATAGACTTCTTATTTTCTAAGCACAACAGCATATGGAATGAAAAATTTAATCAAGTTTCTCAAGATATGACTCGACCTCTTGCATATTATTGGATAGCGTCATCGCACAACACGTATGTATAATCCCTTTAAAGAAATAAAAATATACCTGTTCCAATCCAATCCAGACACCGTGAGATTGTGATTTCTTAGATACTTGACGGGAGATCAGATTAGCAGCGAGAGCAGCTGTCAGGCCTATGTGCGTGCGCTGAGAGCAGGTTGTAGATGTATAGAGCTTGATTGTTGGGATGGTCCAGATGGGATGCCATTTATATTTCATGGACACACTCTAACGACTAAAATCAAATTTTTGGATGTTATTAAGATTATCAAGGAGCATGCTTTTGTTACATCTGAGTGAGTCTTGAAAAAATAAAAAAATAAAAAAAAAGAAAGAAAGAGAAGAAAAGGGAAAGAACTGATTTGATTTCCACATTTAGCCATATTACTTTTCTATTGGCGTATTTTATTCGTAGGTATCCTGTTATTTTATCTATCGAGGATAATTGCACGTTACCACAACAACGTAAAATGGCAACGACTATGCAAGAGGTATTTGGTGACATGCTGTTAATCCAACCTGTTGACAAAAGCGAAACTTGTCTACCTTCGCCATATGCATTACGTAAAAAAATTCTGTTAAAACACAAGAAACTTCCTGATGGTGTTGACGAATCCTCGTTTCTTGTCCGAAATGATGAAAGCAGACAAGAGATGGATCTTAGGAATACTGTGAAAAATGGGATTCTTTATCTGGAAGATCCGATCGATAGAGAATGGAATTCTCATTTTTTTGTACTGACGCAACAAAAGTTATTCTATACAGACACATTTTCAAGAGCACAGGAAACCGAACACGATGATGATGAGGAGACCGGCATTCGGAGATCTTTGGATGTATGCACATTTTACGTATATATGTATATTAATACAAAGTATAATACGAATTGCGATCCATTATAAACTATGATTTATAATGGATAGGTAGAAATGTGAGATGTATGCGTGTATATGTTAAAATAACATTTGACCTTTTTTTTTATAACTGTTTAAAAGGGCGCGCCAAATGACGAATTACACTTTGGGGAGAAGTGGTTTCATGGAAAATTAGCGAGAGGAAGAGAGGAGGCT